CCCCCCCCCCCTCCCCCCATCTCTGCACTTTCCAAGCAAATTTGAGTGGCTATAAATAATGACCGGTCTCTAAAACTACATTATCAAAGAGCCAATGAATGCACTTCTGTTTGGCGGATTAAGGCAGAATCTTCCGTCAAGTTTTTCTTTAACAGGAATGGCTCATAAAAAGGAATTAAGTTTCAACTTACGCCTTTTGGCTGATACACCAAGGAAAGCAACAGCAAAAAGCCGACTTCTTTCATCCTCTGAAAGACCTTACCTGGAAGATATTCAGGAGCAACGCCTAGAATTAGCTTCCTATCAAGTTGCTTTCACAAATCAACTGCACAACGTACTACTACAAGCTATGTTCCTATTTATCTGATCGACGCGAGTTGAACGCGTGAAAGTCAATTCCCGAATATTTGAACGAAGCTACAGTATTGCGACAGGCTAATGCTATTCAAACTGAGCATTCTAAGCGACAGGGCTTATATCACCTTCAGTCTTCCGTGACAATTTCAAACAGGTTCGCTTGCAGATCCGCCGGTTCAGTGTCTTTTAGGGGAATTGCAATGTAGAAGTTAGTTTTATTTCGAAGTTTTCGAAGTGGGGCTAAAATTATAGAGACTGTTCAAGTAGTATTCAGTAATAAGTTGTACGAGTGCCTGTAAGTTGCAAGTGATTTCCTTATTTTGTTTCCTAAATTCCCTAACACTCAGCGATGGTTTTCCACTTACCGCTATCTTTTAAACTCTAAGTCAATACCAACCAGCTGATTTCAAAGGTGCTTGACTGTTTAAGAAGTCTATCGGCAGCAAGCTCACTTTTACACTGGTGAAGAGAGAATTGAAGTCTAGCGTGTAGAGAGTTGATAGGCTTGTTTTTGTAAACACTAGAAACATGAAAATTTTGTCCATGGGCATGTTGTTTTCATTGCTTCAGGGCTCTTTCATTTCTTAAGACAGTACTCACTGGTTTATATTTTACTTCCGCTTAATCACATACCCGTTTAAATCTGCTTTATTTTTTGAAGATTAAAAAAAATACGAATATTGCAAAACAGAAACATTTTTATTATTTTTTTTCCCTTTCTGGCTTGGAAATTGAGCAGTTCGGATATAATTATACGAAATAAGCTTCGTGAACATGTTATTTCTGTGTAATTTTCTGCATAAATTTATATGATAAATTCTGTCCTCTAGCTGTTTAGGATGATATATGTCGGGATACTCAATAAAATCTGTGCCTTTTCAAAGGCAGTCAAAGACTCCTCCCTCATGAATAAAACGGTATAAAAATATTCGATCTGTGATGAAACAAATATTAGGAAATGGAAAATTGAAAAATGCATGTCACAGGTAACCTGCAAAAACATCTGCTTCTCCTCGCTCTTCGCCGCTGGAGACGTTTCGCGCCAAACGTCCCCAGCGGCGAAGAGCGTGGAGAAACGGATGTTTTCGCAGGCTACGTATATCACAGGCGGCAAGCTGACTCAGTGAAACTAGCCGGCATTGGTTTAGTTTGAATGTCTGAGCTGATTCAATTCTCATCTGCCTCCCTCTTTCGACACCTGCAAGCCTTACCCTACCCCCGACGCTGTACACACTAAAGCTGTGAACAGCACTCCGAGTCACGGAGGGAATGAGGCGAAAGCTGTGTTTGTTTCCCAAACACTTTATGCTGTGTTGTAGGTTTCAGTTTTTTCTAGGAAATGTCTGAGAATCGTTTCAAAGTGTCGAAGGCCGATCCTGATGGAACTAAAGAACCAAAGGAAACTTACAGACGAGTCAATCTGTCAACGGATATTGAAGTAAATATCATCGAGCCATGTATGTGACACTTTTTTTTTTTGTGAAATGTTAACCACGTGCGATCAAAATATCTCTCATATTTTGTCACACTTCAGTTGTTCAGTGGATTTTTGTCAGACTGGCATTCTGCTGTTGTTTTTCACTGGTTTAAGACGACAGTTTGAAAAGAAAATTGTTAAATTGGAGTGGACTTCACATTGTTTTTTCTCGTGCTGGTAGTGTACGCGTATAAGGTTTCCTACGAATTTTTTATCCTACAGCGCCGGAGAGATTAGGAAACAAGAGCTTCAAAGAGGTTTTGGTTCCCGGGAACGCGGGAAATCTAGCATTATATGAGGTATTTTAAAACTTTGTTGATATTGTCAATTAAATCGTGAGAGTTTTCTCGTTTAGAGCGTTTTAACTTCATTACGCAAGTACACTGTTCATTTTATGATCCTTTCGATCTCTCTTTTGTGCAGGATGAAATTCAAAGACGACCGAGGATTTCGACGCTGCTCGAGAGTTTATCAAGATACGAAGCTGTGGCTCCTACTCAAGAAGACGATGAAGAAGGAGCTGAAACAAAAACGACGACAGCCTCTCAGGTAAAAATGAAAACAAAAACCCCATATTACTTTGAACAAAGCGGAGTCTAGTGATCGCTTTGTGTACATTTCGGTCTTATGCAAATTGTTCTTTGAAAATGGCGTAAATAATAGATAAGGTTAAAAGTTCACGACGCGGCGTAGTATTAAATATAAACTAAATAAGTTTACTTAAAACTAAATAAATATTCCCGTCAAAATATTAATGAAGTCTGAGGGCCGCAGCGAGAGCGTTCTTTTTAAGTAAATTTGTAATGAAACAAATAAGTTTAAATGAGCTTCTTCTAAACTAAAGCTTTGTTTTGTCTATGTGACAATTGAAGGTGTCTACACTAACAGTCGCAAATAGTTTTATTTGTGTCCCTCTCTCAGTCGATCATGATTTGCTAAAACATTGCCTAATTTGCTTCTCCCAATAAATCAATAAAATTACTAGAACACTTTCATATTTTTTAGAAAAATATTGTAAATAATTTGAAATGCTGGTTAAGTGATGGAAAAATCCTCCTCTATTACACGCATATAATGCAGCATTGCTCCGATGTTATTCTGAATTTAAGCATTGTTAGTGAATCATAAAACTTAGAGACCAGACACAGAAAGACAGCCTCTATTAATAATTAATCTTTAAAGTAAGTGCAAGAAATATTTAGAGTTTAAGCCCCTATCTGCATCTGCCTAAAGTTTTGTGGCCCCTTCATGGGAGTGTCCCTCTCGTACAAGAGGTCTTACTATATGGTATATAGTGCTTGGAAAAGCACTCGACTTTGTATTTTTGTGTCGTCTATAGAGATCTTTTATAAGAGGTCCCTGTGGGAGGGGGTGTACATATGTCCAGGGTTTGAGCTGTAGGATTTGATCATGGGGGGACAATTTGTCCCCTTGGCTAAAATTTTGGGGGACATTTTTATTTTTAGATGGACAGAAATTTGTACACCCTTCTGCTGATGCAAAGGGTTTGTCCTCTTAGATTTCGGACAAAAATAGCAGAACATTGCCTCCTTTTCATAGCGCAAAAAGTGTGATCTCTTGATTTTTTCGGTTTCCTTCGATCCTCATCCGTTTCTTCCTGATTAACACACTGATCTTCTTCTGTATCATTTTTCTCTGATTCACTCTGGCTATGATTTGGAGCGAAAAAGCTTTCTAATGTTCAAACACGTTTTCGATGTGACAGGTTAATGATTGCCAGGCGTGTTCACCATGCTTGATTGGTTGAGCATGAGACGTACATGTTCAGTAGAGCGCATGACTGAAATGTGACTTTAGAATGAACTTTAAACGTGGGATAAAATATATTTTCCAAGTTCTGTTTTAGCTTGCAATTTCTGTACTGAAATAAATCTCTTCATGTGTGCTTCCTTTTGAGTTTTTTCCCCTAAATTTTGAAGGGGACAAATTGTCCCCTTGGCCATTTTTTTAAGGGACAATTTAAGTTGTAGTGCGGGATTGGCCAATGGCGCGGCTTGGCTCAAACCCTGCGTATGTCCCTGGTCTGAATTTCAAAACCTGTTGTTTTTTTATTTTATATTGTCGTTTATATTCTCTCTGAGCTTTGCTGCTGTTACAATTTTGACTGATGTTTATGTTATTTGTTACTATTTTATCTGCCTTGTGTCAC